GAGAAGTAAAAAGATTGTATCTTCTAGATAATGCATCAGCTACCACATTATCCTTACCTTGCTTATATTTGATGACATACGAAAATGTTTCAATAAACTCCACCCACTTTACATGCCTACGATTCAGTTTGCTTTGACCCTTAAGATACTTAAAGCTTTCATGATTAGAGTGGATCACAAATTCTCTAGGTCATAAGTAGTGTTGCCACACCTGCAATGTGCGAACTAAAGCAAACAATTCTTTATCATAGGTAGGATAGTTCAATGCTGTCCCATTTAGTTTTTCATTAAAATACATTACCGGTTTTCCATCTTGCATCAAAACAGCACCTATGCCCAAACCACTTGCATCACACACAATTTCAAAAGTTTTATCAAAGTTAGGCCAGACAAGTAATGGAGCATTGGTTAATTATTCTTAAGTTCATTGAATGCATTCTCTGGCATATCTTCTCATTTAAAAACAACATTCTTTTTCACTCAGTCATTCAATAGTGCAGCTATGGTGCTAAAATCTTTTATAAATTTCCTATTGAAGCTAGCTAACCCATGAAAACTACGAACTTCACTTGCATTTTGTGGGGTTGGTCAATCCTTGATTGCTTTAACTTTCTCTTCATCTACTTCTACTCCATTTTTACCAACTATGAAATCAAGAAAGTTAACTTTTTCTATGCAAAAACTATACTTATTAAAATTAGCATAAAGTTTATCTTTTCTAAGTGTAATAAAAAATAACTTAACATGCTCCACTTGCTCATGCAAAGTCTTTGAATAAATTAAAATATCATCAAAATACACAACAACATACTTTCCTAAATATTCTCTCAAAACGTGATTCATACAAAAGGCATAACAAGTCATTCATACAATCCAAACTTAGTTTTGAATGCGGCTTTCCATTCGTCACCTACATGCATTCTAATTTGATGATATCCAGATTTCAAGTCAATCTTTGTAAATAAACATGATCCATGCAATTCATCAAGCATATCGTCTAGCCTAGGAATAGGATGTCGATACTTAACTGTGATTTTGTTGATGGCTCTATAATCCACGCACATGCGCCACGTTCCCATCTTTCTTGAGCACCAATAAGACTGGTACAAAACATGGACTCAAACTCTCTCGTATATAGCCCTTCTCCATGAGCTCCTCTACTTGCCTTTGAATTTCTTTAGTCTCAGTTGGGTTGACTCTATAAGTTGGCCTATTAGGAATGACTCTATAAGTTGGCCTATTAGGAAGTTGGGTTGACTCTATAAGTTGGCCTATTAGGAATGACTCTATAAGTTGGCCTATTAGGAATGACTGCCCTTGAAATGAAGTCTATTTTATGTTCAACACCTCTAATGGGAGGTAGTTCTTTAGGGACTTCATCTTGGAATACGTCATCAAATTCTTATAAAAGATATTGAAACATACTAGGCAAAGATAAATTGTTATCGTTAGAGACCAAACATCCTTCCTTGTACACAAGTACAAAGATAGTTTTTTTTGTGAGAACATTGCCCTTCTAACCTCTCTAACTCTAGCCAAACAACTCACATTCTTTCTTTTTTTTCAATTTCATTCTTTTTTTCACTATTTTTTCTCTTTGATTTTTCTCAGTTTTTTCACTCAACTCTTTTTCCTCAAACTTTTTTTTTTCTTCCAACTTTAATTGATCAGTAAATACATTTGCAGAACTCAAAGGTACAAGAGTGATTTTTCTACCATCTTTTACAAAAGAATATCTATTCAAATAGTCATCATACATAACCCTCCTGTCAAATTGTCATGGTCAGCCAAGCAATATGTCTCCAGTATGCATTGGTAAAACATCACAAAGAACTTCATCTTTATATTTTCCCAAAGTAAAAGATATTAAAGCTTGAGAAGTTACTTCATTGTTCCACTGTCATTGAGCCATTGAAGCTTGTAAGGTTTAGGATGGTGTTGGGTTGGAATTAGCAACCTTTTGATCAGCATGGTACTTACGACATTGGTGCAGCTTCCACTATCAATTACAAGACTACAAGAAGTCCCCTTGACTAAACACCTTGTGTGAAATAGGTTGTCTCTTTGATCATCAACATCATTCTCTGTAACTTGAGTTTTAAGAAGTCTTATGGTAACAAATGTCAAATGACTCCCATCTTCCAGTTCCTCCTCATTCTCCTGGATTTCTTCTTCAACTAGCTAATCCTGGTCATTTTCCTCACTATCATTGACAACTTGTCCATTCTTGACGATCATGACTTTCTTGTAGGACAATCTCAACTAAGATGATCAATTCCTTGACATTTCCAACATTTGATGTCTCTATTTCTTTCTCAAATCTCCTTATATTCCTCCGCTTTCTCTTTACCCTTGGAGCTCTCAGCTTTGTTCTTTTTGTCAAGATCATACTTGCCTCAAACTTTGAAATCTATCTTTTCAATATTTGCATTCTTTTTCCAAGTGTTGAAAGTAGTAGACTTTGAAATACTATACCTTTCAGAGTTCTCCTTCTCCCAAGCTAGTTTCCCTTCGATTTTGACAGCAAGGTGTAACAATTCTTGCATATCAAAGTACGCTTGTCTATCCATTTGATGAGCAAATTGTCGGTTTAACCCACCAAGGAATCTAGCCATTGTATCTTCCTCATCTTCATCAATACATGCTCTATTCATAAGAGCCTCCATTTCTTTGTAATATTCGTCAACACTTTTGGATCCATGTTGCAAAGTATAGAGTTTTTGCTCGAGTACTCGAGAATAAAGCTTAGGAATGTACCTTTTTCTCATTAATGTCTTCAATTCCTCCCACGTTTCAATTGGTTCTTCATAATTTCTCCTCCACTCTGATTTCAAAGAAGTCCACCATATAATGGCATAATCACAAAATTCAGCCACAACAAGCTTCAACTTTATTTCTTCACTGAAATTGTTGCAATCGAAAACATGCTCAATTTTGCTCTCATATTGTAAATACTCCTCTGGATCAGATCTCCCATAGAAAGTTGGAATGTTTGTTGAATCTTCTTCGCCTTGGATCGTGTAATAGGTCTAGTTGGAACATTTGGAACACCGTGATTCTTATCACTCAAGGATCAGTAGGTCCTAGGGTTGATTCGGTTGATGTTGTCCAGAAACTTGGCTTTCAACATCATGAAGGAGAAGATAATGTCGAATATGTTCAAGGCATTGTTGAATATGTACGAAAACCGTCAACTATAAATAAGTTGTATTTGATGTGTAGATTATTCAATCTACAAATGTTTGAAGGTCATAAAATGAATTCAATATGATTGTAAGTCAACTGATTTCGGTGGAAATTAATTTTGAAGATGAAGCTAAAGCACTGATTTTGATGACATTTTTACCCAAAACTTGGGATACTATTGTTGTTGTGATTAGCAGTTTCCAAAGATCTGAAAAACTAAAGTTTGATGAAATATGAGATGTAGTTCTCAACGAACATATTCGTAAATGAGAAATTGGAGATTCATTGAGTAGTGCTCTCATTGTTGACCAAATGGGAAGAAGCAAATCGAAGGGACCAAACAAAGGCCGATCAAAATCAAAGAACCGAATTTTTTTTTTCAAACAAACCAAACATAACATGTTGGAATTATGGAGAAAAAAATCACTTCCGGGCAGATTGTACAAAACCAAAGAGAAAGCAAAATCACACATCAGTGGATGATAATAATTCTATAAATTCAGCAGAAGACATTGGGGATTCTCTAATCTTTAGCGTGGATAGCTCGAATGAATTCTGAATTTTGAATTCAGGTGCATCTTTTCATTCATCTCCAAATAAGGAATTATTTCAAAATTTCAAATCTTGAAATTTTGACAAGACGTATCTTGTCGAGAACAAAGCCTTGAAGATTAAAGGAAATGTGGATGTCTGTATAAAAACTCCGGTAGAAAATTAATGGACATTAAAGGATGTTATATATATTCCTAGTCTCAAGAAGAACATGATTTCTATTGGTCAGCTGGATAACACGAGTTATGCATTAGAGTTTAGGAAGAGTTCGTGAAAGATTGTGAAGGGTGCTATGGTGGTAGCACGTGGCACAAAATATGGTACCTTATACACCACTGCATGTTGTATACACATGACTACTATTGTAGAGAGTGCTTCCAATTCAAGTTTATGACACAATAGACTTGAACATATGAGTGTCAAAGGAATGAAGGTGTTAACTATGAAAGAAGTTTCAGAAGGCATGAAATTTATTGATGTGGATCCTTGTGAGAGCTGTGTTATGGACAAACAAAAACAAGTTAGCTTCACAAAGATGGTTAGAGAACTGAAGAAAGTGCGATTGGAAATGGTCCATACAGATGTTTGGGAACCATCTCCAGTTCCATCATTTGGTGGATCAAAGTTCTACGTCGCCTTCATCGATGATTTCAGCAAGAAGGTATGGATTTATTTCCTAAAACACAAGTCAGATATGTTTGCCACCTTCAAGAAGCGGAAGCTGAAGTTGAAAATGTCTGAGGTCTCATAATGGAAGGGATTCACATTCAGATGTTATACCAAATACTCAAGAAACTTTTGAGCTTGTTGTCAAGGAACGAGAGATGGAGCAAGCAACACCTAAGTGTTTAGAAGATCATCCAAAACTATTAGAGTATGAGATAGATATTGACTTCTATATCGGTTAAAGCTAAGCATTCATTTTGATATTCAAAATAGTTAACATACGTTTTATAAAACACCCTTCATCAGAGTAGCTGAATTCAATTTCTTTTCAAAACATTTTAAAATTTCAATTGAAATGCCTAATAGTAACTAAATGAATAGAGCAAAATCAAATCTCTTAAGACATTAAAGGCAAGGATAAAAAGAATTGCATACCTTAAAGAGTCTTCAATAACAACAAAGTTATGATGGGTGTAACGAAATTTTGAAAAGTAATGGTTTAAATTGAAAAGTTAGGTTCAATGGTACAATAAGAACGACCTCTATAGTTTATCATTATTTTAGCAATTTTTGTTTAAATAAGGTTAAACTCAACATAATACCAATTTTGATCTGTATTTTTCACATTCATAACTGATAATTACATGCAATACAGTTGCCATACATAGACTCCTTTCAGTGTCAATAGAGGAATCGATAAGATACCTGTTTGAAAGGCTTTTATATGTATCTCTTAGATTTCAGCTTCTATATCTTCAATTGTCTTTAGTTAGAACGGCTACACTAAATTTACGACCACAATAACAAAAAATAAGAAAACTTGGAACTATACATACATACAAACTATCTTCATTCCTCTCTGGGAATCCACCTACTCCACCACAGGCTCTTGCTTCGTCGGCTGAACTCGTCCATGCTTTCGTTTAACGTTTTTAGGATCTTCCGTTGCACCTTCAGAATCGAAGCCAGAGCGTTTCTTTCAGGACTCGCTTTCTTCTTCGGCACGATTTCCTGCAAGTTCAAAACAACAAGACAACATTCAAGCCATTCTCTCATTTTTCTCTATGACAGCTCGGTTTTTAATTAAAAAGAAAAGAAGAGGGCAGTTTTCATAAACAGACTTTGAGCTCCAGAAGCTGAGCTTCAGTGAAGCCGCCATCCTGCTCAGTTCCTGATTTTGCCATTAGCTGAATGATCCAATTAGCAGCTTCAGTGTAGTCTTGCTGTGTAGCTCTAAAGAATTGCAGCCTCAGTTTCTGCACCAAGGACAGAGCCAATAAACCTTCCCTGTCGAAGTATGGGTGAGCTAAAGCTGCCTTAGCGCTCGTTCTTTGTCGTGCTTTGTATCGAACCATTGACGTCAACAGTTCCCATCCTATTCCTTCATCTAAACCCAACAATTCAAAGCCCTTTCTTAGGTCCGCACTGGCACGAGGCTCCACGCTTTTCCTCCACGCGACTAAGTCATAGTCACACCTCTTCAATTGACGGTTAAACTGTATGAGGCCGCTATCTGTCCGCATTGCTGGAAATGCCTTCAAGAACAAACCAATTGCAAGTGTCACTATTAACCAATACACATCAACAATAACTTGAAAAATCACAGTGTTACAAATCTTATAACACTGTAATAACAAGTTCATAGTATTAACATCATTACTTAAATGTTGATATACCATACTGATTGGATTAGAGTAATGCTTCAGTGTGTTAAAAAAGACATACTTAATCATCACTCATCAATTCAATCAGCATGTCATGTCAACATTGAAATATAGTCTTAACGAACGAGACTAGTTCGAATTAGACTTACCATCTGGAGGAAGATGAGACCGGTGCTGTAGATATCAAATCTATCAGGAAGGTTCATCTGTTAAGCCCATGACATATCATCAAACTCAAAAACCATAAATAAAGCTTAGAAATTTTGGAATCGCCACATGGACGTTTTACAATGCTGCACCTGCCATAGTACTGGAGAAAGTGCGGTTGCCACTGGAGCCGAGGGAGCGGATGGAGTTTGAGTGCTCATGATATATTGCTCTGGGGCAGCATATCTTCAATGGGAACAATCATAAATCATTATAACAAAGTTGACATGAACAGGCATGTACAGCAGCAGTTACAGACTAAAGCTACCAAAACTACAAGACCCAAAATTTTGGATCAATCACCATACAGTTTCCTCGCTCCCCCAATATGTTAGGTTTCATAATTAGAGAGAGCATACCTAGGGTCCAGTAGAAACTCCTTTGGAATATAGTTAATGCCAACTCGAAGATCAGCTGCAGCTCCAAGATCAATGATTTTGAAAGTGCGAGATCCTGCTCGGGTATAAAATGAAAGAAAATTGTTAATAACATAAATTTGAATCGAAGCCATATTTATTTACCTTAGCTAGTTACCTTCAGAGAAAATGATATTCTGTGGCTTGATATCCCTATGCACAATTCCTGTGGAGTGAAGACTATCCAATGCAAATAAGAGCTGTCGCATTATGGTCTGAATGATTCTATTCTCCCTTTCCAACCCTTTTGGCAGCTGCTGGCCCTCCCCGAGAATCATCCTCTCTACCTGACTTTCAAAGCCATCACTTAGCTATCTATCTATTTCGGAAGCGTAAAAGTTGCAGCAGCGAATTTACATCACACTAACGCCTTATTTGATTCATAAGTGTTGTATAAGTGAGAGTACCAACATTATAGGGAAAATCTTTGGATTGCATTAAATCTGCCAATGTAGCTTCCCCTTCAAACTTCCATATGAGCCAATATTCACCACCTCCTTTCTTTGAAGAATTCTGGGAATAAATTCAACATTAGTCAAAATAACAGAATAACTCCAACATATATATAATGATTTTTTTTAACGTAAATGGATTTCTAATGACTAATTTCTTAGTTTTCCAAATGTAGCAATGTATTTTAAAACCTAGGAATTAGGGAACATAAAAGGGAAATGGTCGCTATACCAACTTATTTTTTCAAAACCAAAAACCAAACATGATTCTGAAACAGGAAATTAATAAAATGATGGCCTAAATTAAGAGGGTATTAATAGCCAAATGGAGCAACACCTCAAGGAAACCATACACGAAGTCTGCACAGCTATTAGCACAAGCTCGTCGCACTCGTTCGTTCATCCAAATTTCAACTGCACCATACTCTGTAGCCTTTTTCAAGACAAGGTCGCCTTCCTTCTGGTAAAAATGAAAAACTATATTTTAACAAGTGCATTCATTACACATTAAGTAGCTAAAGCTATAGCATTCATTTTGTGGTTCTATCTTCCTCAAATAATACTAAATTCTAAGACCAAACAATTTTTATGATCACGGCCGTTAAAACAACTAATAATTTCTCATCCCACAGTGCTTTTAAAAATCTAAAAACACTTTAGAAGTAGTGCTTAATTAGTACTTTTATCGAACAATTGTGTATCGAGATCACTACACTAAGAAATCTAATCTAAATTTCAATTCAAACTCACTCTTAAGGGACAATAATGATTAACTTAAATAAGCTGAGAGGTAAAACTAAAAACAAAGCAAGCTCCGAGTGTACCTTCTCTGAAGGATTTTTAGCCAGTGCCACTCTATAGACCACACCAAACGCTCCTTCTCCCAACTTCTTTCCCAAAACAAAATCATCCTGCCAATAGAAAAGAAATTCAACGACGAATATTCTCAAAATCAAAGAAAACTTGTGATATAAACTAGACATTGGCAAACCTTTCTGAAAGTGGGTCTGAAAATCCTCTCGACGAATGCAAGAATAAACATATCAAAGAAGCCAGGAGCCACTCCAGGAGTGGCCCAGAGATAAGAAAGAGTACCCAAAGCCAGAATCGCACCAGGAATTGTGAGAGTTAATCCATTAGGCTTCGGCAAAGTGCTTCTGTAAATGATATCACCGCACTCCATCACCGTACAAGGAAGCCCCACTCCCACACCCACAAACAGATTATGAACCACATCGATGAGCTCGGTGCCCAGAGCCGAAACCAAAACCCTTCTCGGATTCTTAATCGATACCCTCCAACAGTAGGCCGATTCGAAGGCCGATTTGTGCTTGAACCTGATCTTCTTGCCGAGAAATGGGGAAGTGGGGTGTTTCAAATGGCGCGGCTGGAGCTTTGAGACTCCAATGCTAACCCCACCTGCTGCAGCAACGGCGGCGGCCATGGATGAAAAGAGTGAAAGGAGTAATTGGACGAAGGGGAAGGGGAATGCCAGAGAATAGATACTGGCGACGATTGAGTGAAGCTTTGAATTTCGACCACAAGTGTGAATTTCATTTTTTTGATATTTTTCTTGGGAGGATCAATAAGGACAGTTTAATTTTCAGGAAGTATTGTGATTGTGTGGAGGCGAATTGGTGGGTTGGATTGGAGAAGTAATAAGCACCACAAATGACACGCAGAGTTCCGTATTTGAAATATGGGCTTATTGGTTGCGCTGGTTCGTCAAGTTTGGATATCTTCATCTTCTTAAAATGTTGGTGTCGTCTTGTAGAGGTCGACGCTTGGCTTTCAGTGTTTCTAACTTTGATATGTCTTTCATTTTCTTCTCCCATCCTTGATTTTGTGTTTATTTTCTTCTCCATTCGTGATTTTTTTTCTCCAAAAAAAAAAAAAAAAAAAAAAAAAAAAAAAAAAAAAAAAAAAAAAAAAAATCCAAA